CTACTACTACTATGACGACGACTACTACTACTACTACTACTACTACTACTATTACTACTATCACTACTCCTACTACTGTTACCACTACTACTACTACTACTACTACTACTACTACTACTACTACTATTGCTACTATTACGAGTAGTATTACTAAGAGTACCCTTGCTATCACTACTACTCTCACTAGTGCTACTACTACTACCACCACTACTACTACTACTGCTGCTACTACTACTACTATTACTACTACTACTACTACTACTACTACTACGATTACTACTACTACTGTTATTACGAGTACTACTACTATTTCTACCACTACGACGACGACTGCGACTATTACGACTACTACTACTACGACTACTTGTTCGTCTACGGCTATTACTACCATTGCTGTTACTTTTGCCGCTACTTCTTTCACGGCGAGCCGTCCTATCATTATTCATACCATTTTGTAATACCGCTACTGCTACCAATACCATTACTACTACTTCTACTACGACTACGGCTACACTTGCTATAAGTTCAACTGCGACTGCGGCTACCGCTTTTTGCAGTACCCTTTCTATTGTTATGTCCACTACTACGACTACGATTGCAACTTTTCATACTACTACTACGGCGACGCCTGCTAGTACCACTACGACGACGACTACTACTTCTACTACGACCATTATTTTTGGTAGTACTACTACTACTACTACTATTATTATTACTACTACTACTACTATTGCTACGACTGGTACGACTAGTACTACTACTGCCTGCACGAGGATTATTACTACTGAGATTATTCCTGCTACACCTACAATTATGGCTACCACTACTACTACTACTACTGCGACTACTACTAGTACCGCTACAACTACTACAACTACTACTACTACTACTACTACTACTACTACTACTACTACTACTACTGCTACGATTACTACTACTACTACTACTACTACTACTACTACTACTACTACTAGTACTACTACTACTACTACTACTACTACTACTACTACTACTACTACTACTACTACTACTATTACTATTACTACTTACTACTACCACTACAACCACTACCACAGCTAACACAATTATTTCCATGGTTACTACGTCTACTACTACTATTACTGCTTCTTTATATTCACCACTACTAGTTCAACTTTAACTACTACCTCAACCACTACGACGACTACTACTACTACGACTACTTCAGCTACTGCGGACGCTAGTATTTTTATTTCTACTACCCGCGACGATGGCGACGCTACATGGTTACTACTATTACGGGAGCTATATGTTTGGTCATACTATTACAGTGTTGCGACGGCGGCTACCACGACTACGGCTACGACTACGACCATTACGACTTGCACGATTATTAGTGTTACAGTACTATTTGGGACGACTACGGTTACCACCACCACGGCTACCACTACTATTACCACCACTATTCATTTTACCGCTAGTGATGTACCTATTACTACGACTACTACGACTTGTACAGTCTTACTTCTACCACTACGCTTGCTACTACGATTATTCGTATCAGTGATACGTCTATTTCTACTCCGACTACGACTAGAACTAGTATGGTTACTACGACTACTACTACTACTACCACTACTTCTACTTTCAGTAGTAGTAGTAGTAGTAGTAGTAGTAGTAGTAGTACCAGTAAAAGTACCAGTCGTAGTAGTAGTAGTAGTAGCAGTAGTAGTAGTAGTAGTAGTAGTCGTCCTCGTAGTAGTAGCAGTAGTAGTAGTAGTAATAGTAGTAGTAGTAGTTGTAGTCGTACGACTACCATTTTCTTAGTACATAATTTTACGATCATGACTACGACTACACCACTACCACTACGACTACTATGTTTATTACTTCGACTATTTCTATTACTCCTACTACTACTGCGATTCATACTCATACTACCGTTATTAGTTTTATTATTGCTACTTCTAGGGCTACTACGACTACGACTAGTACTACTACTACTTCTACTACTACTACTACTACTACTACTACTACTACGACTACTTCTTCCTTCTACTACTTCTACTACGATTATTATTCCTACTACGACCAAGACTACGACTACGATTAATACCGTTACTTCTACTACTACTACGACTACGATTGCTACTTTTTTCGAGTTGTCATACGGTTACTACTACGGCGACGGTTCGTACTACGATTAGTAGTAGTAGTAGTACTAGTGCGACGATGACGACGATTAGAATTACGTTCATTATTATTACTACCCTTATTACTACTACTACTACCACTACTACTACTGCTATCAGTACTACTACTACTACTACTACTACTAGTACTACTACTACTACTACTACTACTACTACTACTACCGCTACCACTATTACTACACTACTACTACTACTACCACTACTACTACTACTACTACTACTACTACTACTACTACTACTATTACTACTACTACTACTACTACTACTACTCAAACTGCCACTACTAGTAGTAGTAGTAGTAGTAGTTTTATTACTACTACAGGTACTGTTCCATCTTCTACGACTACGATGACTATTTTACTACTACACCACTACTACTGCGACTACTACTACTACTACTCCTACTACTACTCCTACTACTACTACTACTACTACTACTACTACTACTTCGACTTCTATTACGACTACTCTACTACTACTACTACTACTACTACACTACTACTACTACTACTACTACTACTACTACTACTACTACTACTACTACTACTACTACTACTACTACTACTACTACTACTACTACTACTACTACTACTACTACTACTACTACTACTACTACTACTACTACTACTACTACTACTACTACTACTACTACTACTACTACTACTACTACTACTACTACTACTACTACTACTACTACTACTACTACTACTACTACTACTACTACTACTACTACTACTACTACTACTACTACTACTACTACTACTACTACTACTACTACTACTACTACTACTACTACTACTACTACTACTACTACTACTACTACTACTACTACTACAACTACAACTACAAATGCCACTTCTTTTTTACGACGACTACTACTAGTATTATTATCATTATTATTATTCGCACGACCATCATGCTTACGATTATTATTATTACTATTCTTAGATCCGTAACTGCGACTGCCATTTTTGTGATTATCATTAGTCGCGGCAATACTGGCGCTAGGTCTTTGTGTAGGAGAATCGAAAGGCGCGAGCACAGGGCTGATGAATGCCAGGGGAAGAGGAGGAGGAGGAGGAGGAGGAGGAGGAGGAGGAGGAGGAGGAGGAGGAGGAGGAGGAGGAGGAGGAGGAGGGGGAGGAGGAGGAGGAGGAGGAGGAGGAGGAGGAGAGGGAGGATGATGGATGGACGGACGGAAGGAGGGAGGGAGGGAGAGCGGGAGCGAAGGAGAGAAGGGCAGGAGGAGGAACTGGAGGAGGAAAAGGACCTGCCAGTGCCCGTGGCGCCCCAGGGTGCCCGGCCATGCTCTCGGGGCTGCGGGGCGCGGTGGCGGGCGCCGGCGGCAGCGGCCCGCCAGGCCGCCGGGCTCTGCCCTGCTGCCCGCTCCTCTCGTCTCGTGGACTGCCCCGGCAGGTTGGGGCCGGACGGACCCTCCGAGTTCACTTCAGTTCAGTTCCCCCTCCCCCCCGTTCCCGCCCGCTCACCTCGTCTAGTGGGGGGCCTGGCAGGCTCAGGCCTGACAGACCCTGATTCCGTACGAGCAATATGGGCACGGAGAGAACGAAGACGAAGATCCACTGCAGTTCAAGCCCATTCTGAGCAGGATTCGCTGTCGGCGTCGCCGCTGTCGGCATCGCCGCGGTCTGAATGGAGTCGCACGTCGCGCTCCGCGAAATCAGGCGGCAAGCTCGGAAATCGCTCTGAGCGGTCGACGGCCTTCTATTGCTGGGATGACCGCGGGGTTTGTTGCTCAGGGGGTACAGTGACGACGCGCATCAAGAAACCAAGTGCGCTTCGTGAGGGTGCCCCGGTTTTCTCTTTGCTCCGCGCGCTGCGCGGTGACTTCCCGCGGCCGTCAAAGAAGCTGCTGCGTGGGGGATGCTCTCGCTTCCCCCCCAAATCGCACATTGCGCTCAAATGTTCAGGGCTAGGTTTCTTGCAAGGGTTTCTTGCGACCGCGTCCGGAGTTCATACGCGGGTGCGAAGGTGGCTTATATCTGGCGTGGTATAGCTCGTACGTGGGTTAGACGTGCCCTGAATTGCTTGCAATCTAGTTTAAGTGGGCTGCGCCTGCGCCCACTTGGCGTAGTTATCGAACCCACCCAAGCCACTTAGGGCACTTGTAACCCGGTTCTCGCCAGATATATCCCTCTGCTGAGTCACCCTGGCGGTCACCCCAGTGTGGGGTCCCCGGCGGGTTCAGTTGCTCTTTACTGCAAACCCGGCAGCCAGGGGGATTTGCTGCGCTCGGCCTTGCTGCTCCACCGTCTGAGGTCCACTCGAGGAAGCGCGAACATGGGTTTAGGCGCATGGACTAGCGACGGGCCCCGCTTCGGTACAGAATCGGCTCTCTCCTTCGCCAGATCAGGCGGTTTGGGCATTCTGTTTTCGGGAGGGGCCTTCCCCGATCCGTGGGCCTGGCGCCCACGCGCCAGATCCACGATCCCCTAATCGATTTTAGCTTGTGCCCGACTCACGCGCCAGCCTCACATCAACATTCGAGCCCTGCTCGTTTCCCGATATCTCGTCTCGGTCTGCGCCCTCGACGGGCGCCAGAGTCGTCGGCAGTGCCCGATTCGTGCACCGCGGCGGGAAGAGCCACCCGTGTGCCAGGCGCGGGTGCATCGGAGGGGGTCGACGTATACCCCACGTCGTTTGGTCGACCAAGGGGCCGAGGGATTTGGCGAATGAGTTCGGTGCATATGCGCTCCAGCCTCTCGCAGCTTGGGAAGCCGAGGCATCTATACGCAGAGCTTCGTGGCCGACCAGACGACTTGGTGTATGCTTTTGCCTTTCCGAGTGCAGGACGCGTGTGCCAAGGAAGCGGCTAGGACGTGCCCACGTTCTGCGGGCCTACGGCCTACCCTGCAGGAGACGGTGCACAGGAGCGCCAACTCCCAGAGCAGGCGTGGCCGCTTCACGTCGGCGTCCGCGGCTCACGCGTGCTCTCCTCTGCATGCACCTCTGCGCACTGCTGTGCGGCACCTCCAGGTGTTGGGTTCTCCTGCCACGGCCCTTCCGCCGCTCGTCAAAGTCCTGGAATATCGAGGGGGCGCCTGGGGCGTCCTGAGTACCTGTTCTGGGGATACATGCCTGGCATCGAGCTGGCAGGTGCCGCGCTCGTCTGAATCGACTTCCTTCTCCGCGACCGGGCCAGATTCCAACACAATCAAATAAGTTGCCTCGCACCTGCGCGGGAACGGCAGTGCGCAGGCTGCATCAACATCTTCGGCGTGAGTCGTAGTGGAGGGTGGATTGAGGCAGGAAGGTGGGTCGGCGACAGCGGAAGTTGGACAAGAGATGCCTTTTCGGACAGACGGCTCGTCAGTTGCATCGAATCGGTCTCACATGCAAGTTGATCCACCTTGGTGCAGGAGACGACTCGTCTCATACCAGCTTGCAGTGTTTCTGTATAACCAGGTCTGGGTAGCTGATAGTGCGTTGACCATTTCGGTTAAGGCGATATGTTGCACAGTCCTGTGGGATCAACAAGTATTACAAGCCCGTAGTGTCAGACATGAGGTCTTGTATCTGCAGCGGCGAACCATCGCAACAGTCGCCAGTGTGTCATTCGACTTGGTTCAGTGGCGTCCAGTTGCCTTCGAACCTTTTATCCATGCCACGTTGCCTTCGAAATAGCCGGTGAGCTCTGCTATGGGTTTCGGCACATTTGTAGCACGGGGTCGGCAAAAACATGGCTGGCGTCCCGGATCAGGCTCCGATGAGGACGCCTTCGAGCGAATGCGGAGACGCATGCAGGAGCTCGAGCTCCAGAACGAGAAGTTGGTGGACATGGTACCGCGGGCTCTTTCATTACACAGGGCAGTCTAGAGGAGTTTTCGCGAAAGCCTTCTCACGTACTCCTCCCCGCCTTCTTTTCATGATCCTTCCCTTTCACTCACGTTCCCCTCAGTTCCCCTCCATTCCATGTCCTGTCTCCCATCCTCTATCCATCTTACCCGGAGCACGGACAGAGGGGTGAGGGCACGGGTACTTTCTGATCCCGGGGGGAGGCCACAGCAATGGAAGGGAGGAGGCCTGGGAGGGTGATCGAGAAGGCTGGCTGGAGGTGAGGCCAGGCTTTGAACGGAGCAGGAGAAACGGATTAACTGGGAGTAGCATAGTAGGAAGGATATGTTTCAACCTGTTGGATCCGGAGAACCTCAAACGTAGTCCAGGGGCGATGTCCGGTTTCCGCGTCCAAGGCCTCGGCGGCAGCGTACGTATGGCGCTCCAAATTGCATCTACGCTCGCATGTTTATTCACGAGACTTACGCTATTCTTCCGACCCCTAGCCGAAGGGCCGAAGGTAGCAGCCCATGGAAGCTGCTACAGCGAGGTCTGGGATAGAATGTCGTACACGGCGGCACGGGTTTCAGCCATGCTTGATTGACACATGTCTGAGACGGGAACATTCAAGGCTCGCACACGCCTTTGCACTCCCGGCGAGCGGAAGTCGGGGGGCTGGGACAACGCCAAGTAGCCAAACAGACATGCGCCAGCATTTCTTCAGCGCCCTCCGCTGCCATCACACATGTATCATGGAGTGGGCCTGTATTTCTCGGTAGCGCTATTTTACGTGGGGCGACGTGTCCGAGATTTTAGGTCACCGTTGTGTGCCATCAGATCGTATCAGTCGTCGACCAAGACAGGGAGCTGGTTTTCGGTGCAGTCGTGATGTCCAATAACGGTCGGGACGGGGTCGATATTCAGGCACGTCGTTCTTCCATGGAGAACCCTCCTCCCCAGGGGGACGGGTAGGAGAATGCGGAGGAGAGGGACGAGCAGGAGCAGGATGATTCGGTAACAAATCACGGCAGCCTTGTATACCACCCTAACTCCGTATTGAGGGTGCGCTAGCGTCGACTAGCGTCTGGTAGTCGACGAGACAGTACCGATTCAGCGTCGATGAGCGTCAATGTGTCGTCGATTAGCGCCGACTGGAGTCGATCAACGTCGGTTGGCAGGAGCCAGCAAGATAATATGAGAGGCTCCCGTGAGTTGCCGCAGAACGTGGTGTTCCCTGCAGGGGCCATGGGTGCTCCCAGGGGGGTCGGGGGAGCAGCCTGACCGACCCCCTGGCTAACCGATCTCTTCCGTGAGGACCCCTTCGCCTCGTCACGAAAAGGGCTCGTCAATGAAGGGGTCGGTTAGGCCGCGCTTGATGGGGGAGGTCTCAGGGGAAGGTCAGGAAGGGCAAAATAGCCACAGACACGCATAGACGTTGACTCCTGCGAGCATATGGCATATGGGGAATATTGGAATGGAGGGGCACGTTTGGGAAGTGGGGTTGCCACCGGAGGGTGAGGAGCATGGGGATGGAGGAGGGGAACAGCATACGAGATGGCACTTGGGAGAGAGGGGGCGGGCGGAGAATCGGCCGGCAGGAACAGGGGGGCAGGGGGAGGGGGGGGGGGAGAGGCTCGGAAGTGTGGGTAGACAGCCGAAGAAACGAGCAGGGGGAGAAGGTGGGGGGCGAAAAGGATGAGGAAGAGGACGAGGAGGGGGACGAGGAGGAAGGAGGAAGATCCTTCTCCACCCGCCCCCCAATCCTCCCACCACCGTCTCCTCTCCTCCTCTTCTTCTTCCTGGAGACGGAGGAGGAGGAGGAGGAGGAGGAGGAGGCAGATGCGGAGGATCAGGTCGAGCCGAGGACAATGACGGGGACTGCAGATGGGGGCGAGGATGAGGAGAGCGCGGAGGATGATCTTCGTGGTACCTGAAGGGCCTGCGTGTGGTCTCGGGAGTCATCTTGGGGCGAGTGGCTCGAGACGTCGTTTCGCGTCCCCCTCTTGGGGCTCTCTTGGGGCCGAGGGGACTGCATTGGGGGCCTTTGGGGCCGTCTTGGGCCCCTCTTGGGCTGTCTGGAGGCTCTCTTGGGGGCCTCGTGGGGCTGCAGGGAGGCCTCTTGGGGGCCTGCTGGCGGTCTCGTGGGTCATCCTTGAGCGGATAGCTCGACATGTCGAAACCTGCTTCCCCACTTGGGGCACTCTTGGGGCCGTCCTGGGCCGTGTTGGGAGCCTTTGGGGCTGTTTGACAGCTCTGTGGGCTCTCTGGAGGCCCTCTTGAGTGCATCTTGGGCCGTTTTAGGCAGATAACGGGGCGGTCTTGGGCCGTATTGGAGCGTCGGATACCCAAAAGGGCAAGTATCCACAGTTCGGTCAAAACATTGGCACAGCTTTGTGATGTTGGCCTCTTGTGGGGCCTCTTGGAACGCTCTTGGTCTGTCTTGGAGGTCTCCTGAGTTGCTCGAGACCATCTTGAGCGTTTAGGAGCGCTCTTGGACCGTCTCCGAGCTCTCTTTGCCTGTCATGGGGGCTTCCTGAGGTTCTCTTGGCTCGTCTTGGAAACCTGCTTCTCCGGGGGCCCAGAAGCAGCGCCGGTGAATTCGTGACCCCGCCCGCCCCCCTCCCCCTCGAACGCAAGTTTGGACCCTGGGGAGGAGGAAAGGGGAGGGGCTAAAGCCAATCATCCCACATGCATTTTCACCCTTGCCTAGCAGGTGTCGAAAGACTGCGCCTTTTGCTGCCAGCCTCCCAGGCTGAGCCGCATTGTGGCATCCTTTAGCTTGCTGCGGAATCATGCGTTACGGACCGCCAGGCACGTCGGGTTGCTACATCCACCGCTCGAGGTCGACGGCCACTTTTGTAATCTGTTCGGTTCGAGGTCCCCAGGAAGCTCTGACACGGTCTGGCTAGCTATTTCCGTTGCGCACCTCTCCTTCCGGTTCTAGTTGAGCGATCCGCAGCCTCACATTGCTGCAAGCCCAGGGGGAGGGTCCCATGACAGAACTTCTCGAGAGGTTTCGGGCGGCCTCTCAGAGATTCAGTGCGTTAGAGATGTTCCGGGGACAACCCAGAACACCCGAAGCGCCTGCCATAGCCATCTCTCCGGGCCACAGAGGAGACGAGGTGGAGATGGGAGGAACAACTGCCTTTGAAGGGCCGGATTCCTCCTGGGCTGCAGTAAAGGGCGACATTTTTCTCAGCGCTGCAGAAGGGAACATGGAAAGACGTCCAGAACTGGCAGATGTGCAGACGGCGCATAACGACGGTGAAGATACTGCCGACGATGATGCCAACGACGATGACTACGAGGTGAGAGGGGTAGTCAATCATCTCTCCGTCTCTTTTTCCTCTTGCTTCTCAAGGTGAGCTCCTCGCGTCACGAGGCAAGGGCTCTCGCCCTGGAGAAAGAGAAACTCCTGGACATGGTGGCCGCCTCCCGCAGTGACACCAAAGCCGCCACAGCAATAGGCTGGCGCAGCGACGACGATTGGGGGAGGGCTTGGAGGCTCCAAATTTCAGAGTGGATGTTTGGTTTCCGCGTCCTGGATGCATTGTTTCTCGCATGTCTTTCTCCCCGCCATGTTCTGACATTCGATACATTAATCTTCGGACATTGGGAGCGGTGCCGATGATTCGCAAGTGCAGAGAGATTGTGGGGAAGATTGGCATGTTTTTCCTGCAGCTTCGTTGGTGCTTTGCCCTGGTACGGAAGAAGGAAGATGATTCCTATTGTCACGCTGGCGAGCTCTGACGGATACTTTCTGGAAGTTTTTTGGAGTTCGTTGATGTCGAAGAGAATGCGGCATATTTTGGAGCCGTATCCAGAACAACACAAGTCAACAGTAACGACCGCCAGGGCAACTAGTACAGCCGTGACAGCCGCGACTGCAGCAGTGGCAGTGGCAGCGACGAGGTCTGTGGCTGCTGCAATCGACGGTAGCGATGGCCTCGGGAGTGACAGAAATGTCGGCCGTATTGTTGAAGTGCCAGATTTCTTCACGCGTCCGACCGAGTTGATTGTCGCACCCAGGTCGTAGTCGATGTCGTTTCAGAATTCTGTTGCAGGGGACACTTTCGCCGGCGTTTTCAACAAGTTCGGCGCAGCTGCCCCGCAGAAGGCCGCGAGAGTGAGAAAGAATGTGAGAGAGATGGGGGAGAGAGAGGGAGAGAGAGAGAGAGAGAGATGACAGATAGACAGGGAAGGGGAGTTAGAGCGAGAGAGAGGCGAAAGAAAGGAAGTCACAAGGAGAGAGAGAGAGAGAGGCGATGTATAATAGAAATGCAAGAGGAGGGGTGGTGGTGCCTGGCCACGGCTGCCGAGACATAGTGTTGCGCGGCACGTTTACATCCATATATTTATGTATGTACACGTAGGTTTCTTTAAACGTACATGTAGAGAGGGAGAGAAAGACTAGCACGGATTAGCAACGGCAGCAGCAGCAGGAACATGTGCATCATCTGCCACAGCCATGGGAGATCCCCAGCGGGTGCGCAGGGAGCAGGAGAGAGCATCGTGATTATGCATCGCATTAAACGGGACACGGGACGAGTCTGCTAAGCCTACTGTCCTAGCGTGAATTCTGCGGCTTGGTTACCCTATGATCCAAACAAGGGAACACTTGCTCGAAACATGGTAAGGACGACGCTCGCAACTTCTCGAGGTTAGAAAGGCTTACCCCGGCGGAGCAACTGGACCGAGGCCGCGGAGCAACTGAAACCAAGCGGCGGAGCAACTGAAACCAAACGGAGGAGCGGCGGAGCAACTGAACCCAAGCGGCGAAGGGCGAGGAGGAGGGGGAGGAGGCGGAGGACTGGAAGGGAGAGGAGGAGGAGGAGGAGGAGGAGGAGGAGGAGGAGGAGGAGGAGGAGGAGGAGGAGGAGGAGGAGGAGGAGGAGGAGGAGGAGGAGGAGGAGGAGGACGGATGATGAGAAAGATTTGGCGGAGGTGGATTGTGATCTGCATCGGCAGGGTGGCGGCCGTTACGTCTCGTTCGCAAGGAGGAGGATGAGGAGGAGCGGGAGGAGCAGTAGGAGGAGGGGCGCCGGCGGGCGATCTCTTCCGGGACGGCGGAAGAGACGTACATAGTGAAACAACGCGGGCAACAACGGTGAATTGGGAGATCTCTGGTAGCGAAGGGTGTGGGTGCTGCTGTTGGTGCTGTTGTTGTTGCTGGTACTGTTGGTGGTGATGATGCCTCTGCTACTGGTGCTGGTGATGGTGTTGGTTATTGCGCTGTTGGTGCTGCTGCTGGTCCTGCTGATGGTGTCATTGTTTCTGTTGACGGTGGTGGTGCTGCTACTGCTGCTGGTCCTGCTGCTGGTGTTGCTGGTTCTTGTGCTGCCCAGCCGTGGCGATGGGAATGCTCTCCAAAGGTTAACCTAGAGGCTCGAGGTTTGAACCTCGTCGTGTACCCCTTCCCGTACCTCGGGATGAAAGGTTCGTTGACTAGGTCGTTTTCGGGCATGGAAGAAGATTGGGGTCTCGCCGTACCTGACGAGATTTCGGCAGCAAAGATAACATGAACATGCTGATGGCTTGGGATTGTTTCCCGACGCTTGGCATTGTCCTCTCGGGGCCCCACTTGGAGCCCTTTTCGGGCTTTCTTGGACCCCTGTTAGGGCCCAGGACAGCCTCAACAGGGCCCCAAGACGCTTCCAAGAAGGCCCCAAGACCAAAGCTGTGGATCTGTAGTCAAAAAGGTTTTTGACTAGAGACCACGTGAGCCATCTAAGTGTTTCCTAGGGCCCCTCTTGGGGCCCCATCCCGGAGCCTTTTCGGACCCCTCGTAAGGCCCCGGGCAGCCCCAAGAATGCCCCAAGACGGCTCCAAGAGGGCTCCAAGATGGCCCCAAGACGAACTCTGTGGGTCTCTAGTCAAAAAGGTGTTTGATTAGAGACCAAGTGAGTCATCTCAGTGCCCCCTTGGGCCCCACTCGGAGCCCTCGCAGCCCTTCTTGGACCCTTTTTAGAGCCCCAAGACAGCCCCAACAGGGCCCCATGACGGCGCCAAGAGAGCCCCAAGACGAACTCTGTGGCTCTGTAATCCAGAAGGTGTTTGGCTAAAAGCCAAGCGTGACATCTAAGTGCTTCCTTGGGCCTCTCCGGGCCTTCTTGGATCCTCTTGGGGCACTCTTGGAGCCGTCTTGGCGCATTCTTGCCCCCCCCCCACCCAAAGCCGCCATTTTGGGCGCCATTCTCGTGGGGCCCTCTGCCCTCTTGGTCTCTTCTTGAGCTCCTTGTGGGAAATTGGGGCAGTCTGGGGCGGTTGGGGCAGTCTGGGGCAGGTTGGGGCAATCTGGGGCAGTTGGGGCAGTCTGAAGCAGTTGGACAGTCTGGGGCAGTTTGGGGCAGTCTGCGGCAGTTGGGGCAGTCTGGGGCAGTTGGGGGAGTCTGGGGCAGTTGGGGAGCAGTCTGGGGCAATGTGGAGCAGTCTGGGGCAGTCCGGGGCAGTCTGGAGCAGTTGGGGCAGGCTGGGGCAGTCGGGGCAGTCTGGGGCCGTTTGGGCTGTCTGGGACAGTTTGGGGCAGTCTGGGGCAGTCTGGGGCAGTTGGGGCAGTCTGGGGCAGTCTGGGGCAGTCTGGGGCAGTTGGGGCAGGCTGGGGCAGTCGGGGCAGTCTGGGGCCGTTTGGGCTGTCTGGGACAGTTTGGGGCAGTCTGGGGCAGTCTGGGGCAGTTGGAGCAGTCTGGGGCAGTCTGGGGCAGTGTGGGGCAGTCTGGGGCAGTTGGGACAGACTGAGTGGGGCACTCTGGGGCAGTTGGGGCAGTCTGGGGCAGTTGGAGCCGTCTGGGGCAGTCGGGGCAGTCTGGGGCAGTCTGGGGGAGTCTGAAGCAGTTGGGGCAATCTGGGGCAGTCTGGGGCAGTTGGAGCAGTCTGGGGCGGTCTGGAGCAGTTGGGGCAATCTGGGGCAGTCGGGGGCAGTCGGGGAAGTCTGGGGCAGTTGGGGGAGTCTGGGGCAGTTGGGGGGCAGTCTGGGGCAATGTGGAGCAGTCTGGGGCAGTCTGGGGCAGTCGGGGGCAGTCTGGGGCGGTCTTGGGCAGTTGGGGCAGTCTGGGGCAGTTGGGGCAGTCTGGGGGGCAGTTGGGGCACTCTGGGGCACTCTGGGGCAGTCTGGGGCAGGGGGGCACTGTGGGGCAGTTGGGGCAGTCTGGGGCAGTGTGGGGCAGTCTGGGGCAGTTGGGGCAGTCTGGGGCAGTTGGGGCAGTTGCTGGCCCAGTTGATCCACCCACTCGTCTCAGTTGCTCCGCCCGCCTCCGGCCCCCTTGGCAGTTGGGGCAGTTGGGGCAGTCTGGGGCAGTCTGGGACAGTCTGGGGCAGTTTGGGGCAGTCTGGGGCAGTTAGGGCAGTTGGGGCAGTCTGGGGCAGTCTGAAGCAGTCTGTGACAGTCTGGGGCAGTCTGGGGCAGTTAGGGCAGTCTGGAGCAGTCTCGGGCAGTTGAGACAGTCTGGAGCAGTTGGGGCAGTCTGGGGCAGTCTGGGGCAGTTGGGGCAGTCTGGAGCAGTTGGGGCAGTTGGGGCAGTCTGGGGCAATCTGCGGCAGTCTGCAGCAGTTGGGGCAGTGTAAGGCCGTTGGAGCAGTCTGGGGCAGTCTGGGGCAGTTGGGGCAACCTGGGGCAGTTGGGGCAGTCTGGGGCAGTGTGGGGCAGTTTGGGGCAGTTGGAGCAGTCTGGGGCAGTCTGGGGCAGTTGGGGCAGTCTGGGTCAGTTGGGGCAGTCCGGGGCAGTCTGGGGCAGTCTGGGGCAGTGGAGGCAGTCTGAAGCAGTTGGGGCAATCTGGAACAGTTGGGGCAGTCTGGGGCACTTGGGGGAGTCTGGGGCAGTCTTGGGCAGTCTGGGGCAGTCTTGGGCAGTCTGGCGCAGTTAGGCGGCCAGAGGCAGTTGGGGCAGGCTGGGGCAGTTGGGGCAGTCTGGGGTAGTTGGGCCAGTGTGGGGCAGTCTGGGGCATCTGGGGCAGTCAGTCGCAGTTGGGGCAGTCTGGAGCAGTTGGGGCAGTCTTGGGCACTTGGGGCATTATGGAGCAGTCTGGGGCAGTCTGGGGCAGTCTGGGCAGTCTGGGGCAGTTGAGGCGGTCTGGGTCAGTTGCTGGCCCTGTTGCTCCACCCACCCGTCTCAGTTGCTCCGCCCGCCTCCGGCCCCCTTGGTAGTTGGGGCAGTCTGGGGCAGTCTGGGGCAGTCTGGGGCAGTTGGGGCAGTTGGGGCAGTCTGGGGCAGTTTGTAACAGTCTGGGGCAGTTTGTAACAGTCTGGGGCAGTTGGGGCAGTCTGGGGCAGTCTCTGGCAGTTGGGGCAGTCTGCGGCAGTCGGGGCAGTCTGGGGCAGTTGGGGCAGTTTGGGGCAGTTTGGAGCAGTCTGGGGCAGTTTGGGGCAGTTGGGGCAGTCTGGTGCAGCAGCTGGGGAAGTGTAAGGCCGTTGGGGCATTCTGGGGCAGTTCGGGCAGTCTGGGGCAATCTGGGGCAGTTGGGGCAGTATGGGTAAGTTGGGGCAGTCTGGGGCAGTTGGAGCAGTCTGGGGCAGTTGGGGCAGTCTGGGTCAGTTGGGGCAGTCTGGGGCAGTCTGGGCAGTCTGTGGCAGTCTGGGGCAGTGGAGGCAGTTTGAAGCAGTTGGGGCAATCTGAAACAGTTGGGGCAGTCTGGGGCAGTTGGGGCAGTCTGGGGCAATCTGGGGCAGTCTGGGGCAGTTGGGGCAGTCTGGGGGGCAGTGTGGGCCAGTCTCGGGCAGTCTGGGGCAGTTGGGGCAGCTTGGGGTAGTTGGGGCAGTCTGGGGCAGTCTGGGGCAGTTGGGGCAGTCTGGAGCAGTTGGGGCAGTCTGGGGCACTTGGGGCAGTCTGGAGCAGTCTGGGGCAGTCTGGGGCTGTGGGGCAGTTGGCGCAGTGAGGCGGTCTGGGGCAGTCGGGGCAGTCTGGGGCAGTTGGGCAGTCTGGGGCAGTTGGGGCAGTTGGGGCAGTCTGGGCAGTCTGGGGCAGTCTGGGGCAGTCTGGGGACAGTCGGGGCAGTTGGGGCAGTCTGGGGCAGTCTGGGGCAGTCTGGGACAGTTAGGGCAGTCTGGGGAAGTTGGGTCAGTTGCTGGCCCTGTTGCTCCGCCCACCCGTCTCAGTTGCTCCGCCCGCCTCCGGCCCCCTTGGCAGTTGGGGCAGTCTGGGGCAGTCCGGGACAGTCTGGGGCAGTCTGGGGCACTCCGGGACAGTCTGGGGCAATTGGGGCAGTTGGGGCAGTCTGGGGCACTTGGGGCATCTGGGGCAGTCTGGGGCATTTGGGGCAGTGTGGGGCAGTCTGGGGCAGTTGGGGCAGTTTGGAGCAGTTGGGGCAGTTTGGGGCAGTTGGGGCAGTCTGGGGCAGTCTGCGGCAGTCTGCGGCAGTTGGGGCAGTGTGGGGCAGTCGGGGCAGTCTGGGGCAGTCTGGGGCAGTTGGGGCACTGCGGGGCAGTTGGGGCAGTCTGGGGCAGTTGGGGCATTCTGGAGCAGTTTGGGGCAGTCTGAGGCAGGGCAGTTTGGTCAGTTGGGGCAGTGTGGGGCAGTTGGGTCAGTTGCTGGCCCAGTTGCGCCGCCCACCCTTCTCAGTTGCTCCTCCCGCCTCCGGCCCCCTCTGCGCCACCGGGGCAGTCCCAGTTGCAATTGGGGTGGTTTCAGTTGCTCCGCCAATTTCTTCCGATGATGAGGAGCAGCAGTCGACGGGAGCAGCACCAGCGGCCACAAGAGGCGGAAGGAGACGAGGACAAGGGACGGCGAGGACGAGGGGGAGGAGGGAGACGAGGATGGGGACGGCGAGGAAGATGAGGACTATATTGACAACGACGAGACGTCTGAGGGCGTCAGCTGTGCGCCTGCACCGATGCCCAGCTCACGACAACCCTGTGGCCCTGGATTGGGCCTGTCCAGAACCTGTGTAAGGTGTATAGACGGTGCCCTCCTCAGGCGGCGAGCCCTGTAGATGTTTTCCTGCCTGCTCGCAGGCGCTTCTTCAGGCGGAGAGGCTCCTTGCAGCTTGCCGAAGAAAGAGAGAGTGGAGGAGGAGGAGGAAGAAGGGCACTGTGGCGTAGGAGAATAATGTTGTTGATGCTTTCTCTTCGCCGAATAAGAAAAGAACGAGGCGGATAACGAGGAGGGCGAGGAGGAGGAGGACGAGGAGGAGGAGAAGGAGTAGAACATGAGGACCAGGATTTAGAAGAGATGGGGAGGCGTAGACAAAATGAGGAGAGGAGGATGATGAGGAGGACGAGAAGGGAAGAGACATGAAGAGGAGGAGGATGAGGAGCAGGAGGAGGAGGAGGAGGAGGAGGAGGGGAAGAGGAGGAGTAAGAGGAGAAAGAACGAGAAAGAGGAGGGGAGGAGGACGTGCTAGGTGCGGTCGTGCCATATCCGACTTCCTACCCCGCCCGCGCATGCCTTCTTACTGAGAGGGTTCTTACACATCCACCGATGTGCTCCATAGCGGACCCAGAATCCCCAGCATGGCCACACTGTGTTATGCCGTTATGCCCGTTGGCATGTGAACACATCCATTCACATTTTTCCTCCTCCTTTTTCCTTTGATCCATTTGAGCACATCTTTCACGTTTCAACTCGCCACTTTGCGTAGCCCCTCTACCTAGGCATGAGGCTTTGCCCCAGCTTAGATGCTTTCAGCTCGTGTGGGTCCTCTGTGCGGGTACCCTCTCCGGCACTGGCCGTGGAGTCGGGTCTACGCGCGCGCTTGGCTCCTCCCTTCTGTCGCCGCCTCCTCCTCTCCTCTGCTCCTCCTCCCTGCATTCGTGACGTCTACCCAGCCGGCCCTTCAGTGTACTGCGTCGCCGCTGTCGAGCTTCAGGCGGGTACGTGCCTGCGGCCGTGAGCTTCGTGGGGTGTGATGATAGCCCTCTTGATTGGAAGCGGAGTTGAGCAGCGTGGTTGGCAAAAGCGATTGTCAATCGCACCGGCTGTTTTAACCCGAGTCCGGGGCCAGTGCAGTTTTTGTTTTTGCATTTGTCACCGCACAGAGAACTGGCAAAGCGAGCGAACTTGCAGGCGATTCTTGCACGGGAAAAATAGCAATGGCATGTGTGCGCAATGGGGAGGGAGGAGGATGTGGTGGATGCGCAGGAGGATGAGCAGGAGGAGGAGGAGGAGGAGAAGGAGCAGCAGGAGTAAGATGAACGGGAAGAGCAGCAGGACCAGGGGAAAGCTGAGGAGAGGAAAGGAGGGGGGCGACAGCGACGAGGATCGTTTCGGATTCAGAAATGTGGCCCGCTATGGGGCAAGATCGCCATCCTGAACGATGGGAGCAAAGTGCGGATCCTGAAATTATGTCAAAATTGCAGCGGGAACACCAGCTTGGAAAACCATCCTCCGACATATATATATATATGTATATATATATATATATATATATATATATATATATATATATACGACCGGCCAGAAGCCGATAAAGAGGTTGGGTCGTGGGGGATGGAGCCAATGACGGGACAACCATCGGGACAATCTTCCCCATCCATCGAGCAACCCCAATCGGTCTCACGATCTACCCGCCTCACTATCCATCTATCGATCTCACGATCTGACGTTCTCACTATATCTAATGGCCTTCGGCTCCTCCCGCCCTGTGCCTGAGTATAGGATCGTCTGCCTATAGGGTGTTCCTTAGGATGTCGCGGGGGGTCTCTCTGGGGTCTCTGGGGGGCGGTTTGAGCGCTGTTTTGGAGCTTCTGTCGGCGTCTTGGGGGCCTCTTGGGGGTCTCTTGGAGGCCACTTGAGGGCATCCTTGCGCCTCCTTTCTGGGCTTTCTAGGAGCCTCTTGGCGCGGATGACTTGGATTTTCCGATCGTGTTCCTCCTCTTGGGCCCTTCTTGGGGCTGCCCTTGGGCTTTCCTGGGCCGTCCTGGGCGCCCCTGAGGCCGTATTGGAGCGCTCTTGGGCCGCCTGGGGGCCTTCTCGGGGGCCTTGAGGCGGTCTTGGGGGCTTCTTGGCCCGTCTTGGAGCATCGGAAGCTCGAAAAGTGGGTGACCTGAAACAACATTGAACAACTACAGTAAAATTAATGATCTTGGCCTCTCAGGGCCCTCTTGAGAAGGCTCTTGGGGCTCTCTTGAGGCACCTCGAAGGCATGTGGGCTGTCTTGGGGCCATCTTGGGCGTATTCAACCGGTCGTGCGGCGATTCTGGGCCCTCTTGGACCGTCTGGGCGGCCACTTGGGGCCGTCTGGGCTCATCTTGGGGCCCTTTCGGGCCCGAAAAAGTAACGCGACAAGACACCCCAAGCCCCAGGGGCCACGCGACGCGCCCGAGAAGATTTCGCAATTTGCGTTCTGGGCCCTTGCAAGGACACCCAGGATGAAGGACTGAGGTTTACGGCATCCGGCAAATGACCTGAGGATTCCATTTCGTGCCTCGAGGGCACGGTGGAGGTTATGTATGCTTGTATGTATCTACCGATTTCACTATGTACATATACCGGGTGTCCAGGGCCGGGGGCCCTAAGGGCAGACAGCAGATCCCCATGTCGGTGGCGGGGATCTTGGACCCCTCCGAGACTGCAAAAAAACGTTCGGACATGGCCTCAGAGAGCCCAAAGAACCTCCATGACGGTCCAGGGAGCCCCCGAGGCGGCCCAAGACTTTTCCAATACGGCCCCAGATGCTCACAAAACGGCCGAACGTGCTCCCAAGAGTGCCCAAGATATTCTCAAAACGCCCCCGGGGATGAGCCCAAGAAGCTGAAATCCTTCAACAACCGATGGAAAACCGTTACATATTGCCTTTCCAGCTTTTTCGCCTGAGATGCGCTTCCGAGGCTTCAAAGTGGCCCCAAGAGGCCCTCAAGAGACTGTAAAGACGCCTTCAAGAGACACCAAGAAGTCGCAAGAGGCGCTCCGTAGTCATTTTGGCTCAAGCCGTCCTTGCTGACGCCTGGACCCGCTCGCTCCACCCGTGCCCCGGCAAGCTCACCGAGCTCCTCCGGCACATTCGAGCGCGATGGTGGCCGCTCGCTCCAGGCTGCTCTCCGTCGCTGTCCTCCTGGCTGCGGGCGCCTTTGTGGCGACCACCTTCGTGCCCCCGCCCGCTGCAGCACCTCGGGCGCCGCCCTCCGACTTGCCTCCGGTGCAGCACGCTGCGCTGCTCGGGGTGGCGGCGGCCGCCGTGCCAACAGCGGCGCATGCGGCCAAGGCTTTCGACCCGGTGGACACCATCTTCAAGCTGGTCGCGCTCGTGGCGGTCCTCGTGGGGCCCATTATCGCCTTCTTGGGCTTGCAGTTCATCCTGCCCCAGGCCGACATGTCGAAGTGAGCACGGCACCGCTCCAGGAGTTGGACTGAGGGCGGGGGGGGGACAGCAGTTGGGGCGTCGCTGGGCTGGGGATGTGCGCGTCCTGCCGCAGGCGCACCTACGGTGGCGCGTCCTGCCGCAAGCGCACCTACGGTGGCGACAGGCGATGACGTGCTCCCTGCGGGCTGTACAATTTTTCGGACTCAAGAGAAAAAAGGCACAAGAGGCGCTCAAGGGGCCTCAAGAGGCCCGGAAGACTCGCCCTCGACGGCCGTCGGTAGCTGGTACGTCTGCCCAGGTCACTCCTGATCGGCCAGCACGCTTCGGCGACTCGTCCTCGGCGTGCACGTGATTCGGGCTCGGAGTTTGCGGAGTGCTTGGCCAGAGCGCCAGCCAGGGGTTCGGATCGCAGGCGATGTTTCTCCCCCAGGTCCCGACTTTTCGACGAAAAATGAAGCCGCTCAGAAAAGAATGGAAACACTGAGATACACCCCAAGGGCCCATTCGGACGCACCCCTATGGAGGATGGACGCCCCCCCATCGTAATTCGCAGGGTGGGGCCTCAAATTTCCGGCCCATTCGAAAGCCCCACGAAGCCTGGGACATTCGGGGGCGGGAAAGAGGGGGGTGATGTCTAGACGGGGGTTGATATCATGGCGGGGGCCATGAAATTTCCCCAGATGTCATGGCGTCCCTTCTTATTTCATTACGTTCCTGGCCCCCCCGCTGGGCCGCGCACATGCCGCCGGTCATGATTTGCATCCCCCCCTCTTGGAGACCCCCCTCTTGACCGCTCCCGAGATATGGGTCGACATGTCCCCTGCTATCGGAGCCTACTCACTAGCCTGACCTGCCAGGGCTCAGCATCTCGGGTGGGTCGCAGCCCAGCAGCCCCCGCTGCTGTTGAGGTGCAGCTCCAGGGCCTCGCCCGCCCCTTCCCCAGAGGAGGAGGAGGAGGAGGAGGAGGAGGAGGAGGAGGAGGAGGAGGAGGAGGAGGACGACGACGATCCACAGCCCTTCCTTCCCGCCGCCGCCTCCTCATCATCCTGCGAGCTTTCTCATCGTTTGCACTCCGTGCCCTCGTGCTTCATGTCTGCCCTCAGGGCACCGCGAGAAGACGAAATCAGGACTGAGGAGGGGCCCAGGTGAGGCAACGGAGCGGCCAGGCGCCAGGAGCAGCGAAAAGGGCGCCCAGAGGAGGTGAGCGAGGGAGGAGCAGGGGGAGGAGGATGAGGAGCTTGGCGAGGAGAAGGTTCTGAGGGGAGGATTGCGAGAATGGCGAGGAGGAAGATGAGGAGCATGGCGGGGGGGAGGAGGAGGAGGAGAAGGAGGAGGAGGAGGAGGAGGAGGAGGAGGAGGAGGAGGAGGAGCAGGAGGAGCAGGAGGAGGAAGAGGAGGAGGAGGAGCAGGAGGAGTCGGAGAAGGAGGAGGAGGAGGAGGAGGCGCGTCTGGCCGCAGGCGCTCACATCGGCCCAGCCCCACGGCGGAGAGCCCTCCATGGAGAACGAGATGCTGAGGGAGCAGCTGTCGACCCTGAGGGAGGCGTACCAGGACGCACTCCCCAGCTCCGATGCTGACACAGGGGTTGGGGCTCATGTAACCAAGGTCAGCGCTAACGAGGGTCAGCCATTCCACCCTGGCTGACCCGGGTTTGGGAGCCATGCGGGGCCGATTCCCCGTTTCCGCCCTCCGCTGACCCGGGTTTGGGAACTACTGAGCGGCTGGCTGGGCTTCGCGACGGGGCCCTGTCCGACCTCTGTTTGTGCTGACCGGCTTAGTGCGCCTCCGAGCAGGAAATCGTTGGGTCGTAAAGGGATTTGTACCTCTTTCGGGCCGCGTATCGAAAGAACCACGTCGTCGGATGTCTGGGCTGTCAGCAGAAATGTGGCCACTGTTGCGTATCCTTCCTGTCAGTGGCCACTTTGACCCACGTCACGTGCCCGGAGGGGCACCGCGCAAGCCCTTGTTGTCGCGTCATGGTGTGCGCCGCATCCGGGTAAGTCGCGGTGATGCAGCATCGTCGATTTGTTCGCGGGCTCGTTGCTCGTCGTGAGCGCGCTCGTCGTTGTGGCTATGCCGCTATCCAGCTGCCGACGGCAAACCCTGCCACCGAACCTGTGCAACAGCGCAGCAGGAAAGAGGCTGAGTGTAGGAACAGCCATATTCCGACGAGTGGTCTGAATTTGGACGGGTCGTGAACTCGACCTCGTCTTCGTCCGCGCGGTAGGAAGGTTGTCGAGTTCACGCCTTGCGCCAATTTTGCGATTGGTCTGGCCTGGGGAGGGTCGTGATCTCGACCTCGTCCTCGTCCGCGCGGTAGGGAGGAGGAAGAGGAGGAGGAGGAGGAGGAGGAGGACATGGAGAAAATGAGGACGAGGAGGGGGCGGCTTCTTTTAGGCTCTCTTGGGCCTCCTGGGGGACCTCCTAGGGGGTTTTGGGGCCTGTTGGGGCTCCTTTGGTCGTCTTGGGGAATCCTTGGCCCGTCTGACGCCTTCGGATGCCGTCTTGGGGGCCCCTCTGTGCCGTCATGGTGCCTTCTTTGAGCGCTTCATGGCCGTCTTGCGACCCTCTTGGGAGCCTTTTGGGCAAGATTTGAATCCTCTTTCGCTGATTTGGGGCCCTATTGGAGGCCTCCTCGGTTATCGGGGAGCTATCTTGGAGGCCTTTTGGAGGCCTCTTGGGCCGTCGTGGGCGGTCGAAAATACAAACAGGAGAAAACCCGAACAGGCGAGAACCTGAATGCTAGCCAGCGTGGGCCCCAAACAGTGTGTTTCTAGCAGTCGAGGTCCTAAGTGGTGCTATATACGTTGTGCAATATACGCAGTTCAACCTATGTGGTACAATCTATGTTATGCAAAATATGCGGTTGTGCAATATATGTGGTAGAATTTGTGTCGCGAGTTATCGTTTATGCAACAATCATGGTGGAACCTATGTGATGTAATTCGCCCTGTCGAACTTGAAGTTGTCAAGTCCATTGCTCGCGCTATCATCCCACCCACCCGCCCACAACATGGTTTGCACGATTATTCGCTTGAAAAAGAATCGATGTAGTGCAACAGATTTCTGTTCGCAGTTCGCGGTGGGTTGCCCACTCCACTGCTCGCGCAATCATCCCACCCACCCACCCGCGACTTGGTTTGCAAAACTCATGCGGCGGCGATTGCGATAAGTGCTTGGGATTGGCTGGTGCATCTCTGCGGCCGCGCTAGCCCGCGCGCGTTCGCGCTCGCAGCGGCCAGATAGTTTGGCGCGACCGGCGCGGCCGCGGTGGCGCTGGCCGCTAGGCGGGCACTTCAGTGCGAGTCGGCGACTTGGACGCGCGCGGTACAATGGCAACGTCGTCTAAGGTAGACGCGGTGATGAATGTAGCGATGTCGGTGACGATGGTGACTTATACGACGGCGCGACCAGCGACGTCGACCGCTGATCACGCCGACGACGATGTCGGCGCCCTCGCGTCGGCGATGAAGGTTTTGGGTGGAGTTCGACATGCGCGCGCGGCCGAAGCGCGAGAGTGGCCCGCACGGTGCCATTTGAAACGGGTCACGCCCCCCCCCCCCCCCCCCCCCCCCCCCCCCCCCCCCCCCCCCCCAGCGCGCAAGGTCGTTTGAATGATTTCGGCATGCGGCGCGAGAGGCCCGGTGCAGGCTGTTTTCAGTAGTGATGTTGCATAACTAGCGCCTTATCTGCATCGGGGGCACTCGATTTTGAAACCCTTGCGGAACCTCGGTTTTCTATGAGATTCCGTCATGCGCGCGCGACGACGCGCGCGCGTGCACGTCGCCTCATCTTTCACATCGGGGTTCTTGCGCCAGCACGCGCGCAAGCTCGAATGATTTTGACCTGCGCGCGCGAGAGGCCCATTCGGTAGCATCTTATGGTTTTTGGGTATGAAAAATAAAATGTTCGCACGAATTCTCAAGCGCCCGAGCGCGAGCTTTTTTTGAACATGCAAGTTGTGAACCCTTATGTTTTTCGTTGTGCATATTTTCGTGACGCCACTCGGTTTTGACTCCCTCAGGAAGCCAGACGTCCTCGAAGGATTTCTGCGCGCGCGACGACGCGCGTGCGTGCACTTCGCCCAATCTGCCGCAATGGGCACTCGAAACTTGTTGAGGTTTGTTGCAGAGGATGAGGGGGGGGGGGGGGCCGGGGTCGATGCGGGCGGGCCTGGGATGGCGCGCGCTCATATCTGCGATGAACGATGGGGCAGAACCACGCGCGAGTTGCAACGCGAGAAGGGGGGCCGTTGACGCGGGGGGGGCGGGGGTGGCAGAGATCGTAGAATTTCTGTAGAAATGCAAGTTTATGTAGAGCAATCGATTTCTGCTCGCAGTTCGCAATGGGTCGCCCACGCACCCGCGACCTGGTTTGCAGAACACATGCAGCGGCGATTGCGATGGGTGCTTGGCGTTGGCTGGTGCATCTCTGCGGCCGCGCTGGACCGCGCGCGCTCGCGCTCGCAGCGGGCGGATAGTTTGGCGCGACCGGCGCGGCCGCGGTGGCGCTGGCAGCCGGGCAGTTCCCAGCGGGCACTTCAGTGCGAGTCGGCGACGTGGGCGGGCGCGGTACAGTGGCATCGTCGACGGCGGTAGACGCGATGGTGATGGCGGCGATGTTGGCGACGACGGAAACAACGGCGACGGCAAGGCCAGCGACGGCGCCGACGCCGACCGCGCCGGCGACGACGGCGGCGCCCCCGCGCCGGCGACGAAGGTTTCGGAGGGGAGTTCGACGCGCGCGCGCGGCCGAGGCGCGAGAGCGGCCCGCGCGGCATTATTCGACGCGGGTCGCGCCCCCCCCCCAGGGCGCGCGAGATCGATCGAGCGATTTCGACGCGCGGCGCGAGGGGCCCGCCTGGCTGAATTTCGCTGAACAGCAATTCTGTGTTCTCGAGAATTCGCTGGAGCGCGAGCGCGGGCATTTTTGAGCATTGTTGTTGCAGAACCATGTGTTTTATGTTTTCGGGGCGCTCGTCGTTGAAATCTATGCAACACCGGATGTTTTCGAATGGTTTCGGCGCGCGCCCGCGACGACGCGCGCGCGCGCTTCGCCCATGTGTTTGCAGGGGCTTCTGGCGACAGCGCGCGCGAGAAGGCGTTCGAGCGATTCCGACGTGCGCGCGCGAGGGGCCTGCTTGGTAGCAAGTTGAACCTCCTTGTTTTCTAGGGGTTTTGCAAGAGCCCGGGCGCGATTGGTTTTGAGCGCTGATGTTGCGATATCATGTTTTATCAAGTGCGTGGGCGCTCGACGTTGGAATCCCCATGAAGCCGAATGTGTTTTTCGAGGGTTCCGGCATGCGCGCGCGACGACGCGCGCGCGCTTCGTCCCATCTGCTGCGAGGGATTCTGGGCAACTGATGAGTTTTGATTAGCGGGTGCGTGCGCGTAGTTTTCTGTTGCAAAAAGTGAGGGGGGGGGGGGGGGGGGGCGTTGCCGGCCTGGCTGGGGCGGCGCGCGCTCATGCTTGGGGTGGGCGATGGGGCGGAATCGCGCGTCAACTGCAACGCGAAAATGGGGGCGGTTGAATCCAGGAGGGGGCGGGGGGGGAGATGCCAATGTTCCTTGAGTGCAGGGAATGCATTTGCGGAACTTGCAGTTGCCAACTCCGCTGCTCGCGCAATCGCCCCGCTCGCCCGCCCGCAACTTGTTCTGCAAAACACACGCGGCGGCGATTGCGATGGGCGGTTGGCGTTGGCTGGTGCATCTCTGCGGCCGCGCTAGGCTGCGCTTGCTCGCGCGCGCTGCGGCCAGCTAGTCTGGCGCGACCGGCGCGACCGCAGTGGCGCCGATTTCCCGGCGCTTCCCGGCGGGCGCTGCAGCGCGAGACGACCGCTTGGGCGGGCGCGGTGCCGCTTCGACGTCGACAGCGGTAGACGCGGCGACGATGGCGGCGACGCTTGTGACGACGGCGAAAACGGCGAAGTTGCGGCCAGCAACGGCGCCGATTCCGATCGCCCCGAGGACGACGACGGCGCCCTCGCGTCGGCGATGAAGGTTCCGGAAGGAGTTCGACGCGCGCGCGGCCGACGCGCGAGACCGGCCCGCGCGATATTATTCGACGCGGATTGCCCCTGCCCCCCCAGAGCGCGCGCAGGATCGTTTGCGCGATTTCGACATGCCATGAGAATCTGTTCCGATGTTTTTAGACTTCTTATCTATTTAGAGCGGCGCCGATCTATCTAGATCCGCCTATCTAATTAGATCTTGGTGGTCTAAAAAGAACATGTTTTGTAGAGCCGATATATTGAGATAGGTTTTTGCTGTAAGCAAAAACCCTATCTATTTAGATCGGCTCGGTTGATTTTCCAAGAGGCCCAACATGGGTGTCCGAAAAGGCCGAACTGGTGTTCTGAGAAATCTTGATTTTTTTCCGATTCACAAGGGTCAACATCGTCTACACGAGGCAGCGGCCAGGGGCTCCTCGCATACATGAGGCAGCGGCCAGGGGCTCCTCGTCTAAGGAGCCCCTCGGCGCGAGGGGGGAGGGAGGGGGGGCATGTCGCCGCGGCTGTTTGCGGATCCGATGCACAGTTAGGCTCGACTCAT